GTATCATTCGGGACCATTCGGGACAGTGCCCGGTCCAATACTGAGAGGATATTGACTGGCAATACAGCATTTTGATTGGCTGATTTTAGTTATTGGCCCTCTGACAGCCCGAGTCGTGTAATAAATTCTGATCCTCCACCTATTGAAATTCATGTGAAATGTGATAAAGCTAAGCCAAGAAATTTCACACCATTGACCACTTTCATAAATGGCTGCTGGATTAATATTCTTTTGTTTATTTAAATTAGCCTTTCGGGCCTCGCTTGAGACAATGTATTCTTTTGAATTTTGTACTGGAGAACAAGGCGAGAAAGGCTAATTTAAATTTAAACAAAAGAATATTAATCCGGCAGACAATTATGAAAGTGGTCTATAACTTGAAAAATATGAAAAAAAGAGACACGTGGACTGTTGATAAGTACCGTAACACCAAAATCTGGTGAAGTAGAACTCCATATAGCTCCCAAGCTTGCAGTAGCCAACATAGCCTCAACAGCGAAGGCACAATTGGGAATATAACCTTTAAAATGAGACAAGGAGTTAGTAAAAACATAAGCCAAGAACAAGAAGAACTGCTTCCAGTAGCCAAATTCAAGCCTAATAGATACAATTCTATGGACCGATAAAAACTTTTTCCTGTGTGAACTTGCTAGGAGGCAAGAGCCAAATAGTACCAATCAAGCCATGGCAAAACACTTTCTCTGCTTTTTAAAGTATTTTAACATGGAAAATTTATAAGAAAGCCTAAATTTTATGCAAACAACTCAGTTTTTCTGACTTGTGTCAAAACACATTAAATATGGACCATATTGGAGGGTCTCAGTGATAACTAAGGTGGTCGGTTTGTTTTCTTGTCCCAGTGGTTTATTAACATCTTCATACATACCAACAACTCTATCTCCTTTCTTGACACCAAGATTTTTCAGAGCAGAGGTTAATAATGCCACATTCTTTCTTAGTTGATGAAATGTTATGGTCTTGACCTCTTGTCCCTCTCCTACAAAAGATTTAAAAAAAAATAAGGGCAAATCCTCAAAATTGTGACTATCTGAGAGGCTAAATAAGTTGTGATAAGAGGGCAAGCCTCCTCAACACCACCCCCCTCTTACACTTTCCCAATCGTTAACACCACCCCCCTCTTATATATTCCCAATCCTCAACACCAGCCTCCCTCTTACACATTCCCAATCCTCAACACCAACTCCACTCTTACACATTCCCAATCCTCAACATCAACCCCCCTCTTACACATTCCCAATCACACCCCAGTGTCACTTGTAAGAATATGAAAGGGTATCACAACCTAATAAAATACTGGAAGAGGGGGGTGCAGTTACTGTAAATGACTGATGTCCTGTTTTGGAGGAGGACAAGTTACAGTTCTCTGGAATTCTCTATGAGCCCAAGATGAATGGACTTATCTGGGTATTTTGGTGAAAGAAAAAAACTAATCATTTAGTTGTACCTGCAGTATACAAAGCAACTTTGTCATCATCAAATCGTAAAAGATTTTCTGCAAAATTAAGCTGAGCTCCATGGAACCATTCCGGAACCTCCTCCATTGGTTTAGACTCATCTAAAACCTTCACGAAAAATCATTATACTAAAGAGTGATCAAGTGAGTTTATTTTAATACCAGCTGATCACATTCTTGACTATCATTCTCTATTCTTAAATGAAAGGATATTGGCTGTTTGTGCTTAAAATTCTGCTGGAGAAGGGTACTCATCAGAATTCTTAGTATGGAGGGTGGTATTTTGTTCTTTGAATCCTAGCCTCATCTTTGACCAAAACAAAATAATGTTTTTTCAGATTTTATATCTTTTTTGTAAATTTAGGTAATTTATGCATTTAAAGCAGCCAATAAGATTCTATCTCATATTACTCCCAAAATTTAACAATAAAGTGAAATCAACAAATCAACTTTGTTTGACAAGCAGGGTACTTTCCAAATTTGATAATCTGAAGTCATGATTTGTGAATACCACACCACATGTATCTTAATTTGCTCTTATCTGTTAATAAACAGGATATTAAATAAGGGGTTTGTGAACATTTTATCTTATCTAGCAACTTGCGACAAGAAAAGTTATGATAGCAAATTTTAATTAGTACCTCAACGTATGGATGGGAGTGGATAACGTCAGCAAATTTCCAAAACATCTCCCAGAAATCTGTATGTTGATTGACACTCCACTGATGCAGCTCCTCATAATTTTCTGTATGGATTCAAGGAAAAGCAAAATCATATGCATTTGTGTGTTTGGATAGAATTAGGAGGTCAGTGTTTTGACTTCAGGACTTTTTGTTCTATAAAAATGATTGAAAATTGAATATTACATCGCATTTTTTCTCCTACTTCTGAATTTTTTTTCAATCATTCCCTTGAAGCTAAAGAGAAGCATCATCTGGAGTTGTGTCTAGGGTGTGAAATTGGGCGTGTCAAGGGGTGTGTTGAGGGGTGTGTGTTTGCACTGATTAATGTTTCCTCTACAGAAGCTTGTCTAGCATCCAAAATTTTTCATTAAGTCGCCTTCAAATTAATCAAAGGCTATTAAGACGGAGATGATAAAGCGACTCGACCGATCAAAAATCCAAACTGACCAGAAAAGATGTCTAACTATTAAGTTCAACAAATTTCCCTGTAAGTACAAATGGTGTGATTTTCATAATTTCTGCAACATTACAAGACCTTACTTTAAAATGACTTCTATACTCACCTAAACTCAAGCCAAATGTTTGATTCACAACTGACTGGAAATCGCCGATGTTGGTCGACTGATCTGCATTTGGCTTCCACATACATTTCGGTCTCTCTTCTCGCACGGAAGCCATTGAGTTGGGATCCTCGCTTGTATCACCAAACATAAATTACAAAAAGACACGTTTCTAAGAACTACCAAGCTGTTCTTATGGATAAGGATAGCTCTGTCTTCCCGAAACTTTGGCTTTCATACGCTGTCTAGGCAACGTTGTGGTCTTTTGACAAATATTTCAAAACTTGTCTGTAAAATTTCGTAACTTGGCGCGCCACGTCACTTACACCAGAGCCCCACGGGATTTGTTAGAACATTTTTAAAACTACTTCATTAAAAATTGAAGAATAGGCTTCTCCAAGGGGAAAGGAAATACATACTATACTCAGAATTTTCTCTTGAGTGAAACACTACTGGAAAATTTGTGAGAATGGCAATTTTTTCCTCTGAAAACCTGCTATTGTACCGCATCATCAGATGTTCGCGTGAAATGGCTTCCCTGCCAGCCCTGGGAAGGGTTGGTAAATTTAGATTTTAAATCGCTAGAAATTTGCTGAAGTTAATAACAGAAAAATGGACTAAAATTGTTCTCCTTTTGAATAAAAACTGCTGAGAAGAACAGAATTTTTTTAAATTAGCGTTATTTTAGTGCAAAACAGAGATAATAATGCCCCTACTTTACCCTACTCTAGTTGGTAAAAATTATTATCAGGTAACCCAGACTTCCGCGAATAAACCCTTCGGTCATTCAAGGTCATAGGAGAACTGATTCAACATGGCGGCAGAGTTTACAAGTCTTGAGAGTTGCTTGGAAAAACATCTTCCACCAAAGGAGCTAGAAGAAGTGAAGAGAATTTTATATGGAAAGCCAGTCAGGTAAGTTGTAGATTGGAGTTGGGGTCTCTAACCCAGTGACCAAGCTTTTAGTGTATTCGTGTGGAAGTCAAGCAGTCGACTTGGCCGATCGAGACAATCGCGTACAATTTTCTCCACACCATAGGCCATTTTCATACTTTTACGTTCTTATTCTGGAAATCACCTCCGTGCAATCACCCCCGTGCGCCTCACCCCCCGTCCTACAGCGTGTACATCTCATGACGTTCCTTTTTTGCCTGCACCTCCCCTCTCCCCCCCTCAAAAAGCTCGAAGCTGAGGACCCTTCATATTTCATTTTCTGAGGGCCTTGAAAGACAATCAAGAGTTTTGATTTTTGTATGTCTTGAGGTGGGAATGACGATTAAGTGTCCTCCATACCAGCCCTGTAGAGTTGTTTTTCTTAAACAGTCCTGCAGAGATGTCAAGTAAAAGAAAGTAAAACAAAGTAAAAGTGGCCTTTTTTTGGTTTCTGTAGCAAGAAGCAATTGAGAGTGTTGCTAGCCCCCTTCCCTATTGGGTGGAATACTATTTTATTGTAGGTTGCCCTCTAGCATTTCGTCAGGTTTCCTTAATGGGTTATTAGCATCGATGTTTATTCTCAAGGTGGTGAGAAACACTGATAGAAAAAAAAATCCTTGTTTAAGGACACAACATGAGCCCTAGCAAGAGTTCAAACTGCCAACTTTTCAATCTGAAGTACAGTGCAGTAACCATTTATAAACCATCACTTATCCACTAGGACAAGACATTTTTAAAAATATTTGCAAAGATACTTGTTTTTAACCCCTTCACTCCCTAGATCTAATTAGTAATTCTTCGTTTTGTCTGCCATACAATTTTATGGTACCAGATCAGAGAATTTGGCATTTGATCACATAATACCTGCAATCCCCTAATTGATATTTTTCTTTAGTCTCATTACTTGTCTGCTTGATATTGTACAGATACTGTAAGGAGAAATTTTTTCATGATCACTCATGGGAGTTAGGCCCAGTTCAAACATCGAATTTCACATGTGCTGACCTGAACTCCTATGTTAGTCAACTAAAATAGTTAAATATGGCATTTGATTCAAACGTCGAATTTAACTCTGTTCCTTGTCAATATTCCTGGGCACACCACTTATTTGCTAGACCGTGACGGAGACCTCTATTGAGCATTTGCTTAATTACTTGAACTGATGCTTTTGTTTTGCTGTTTGTTTTTGCTTTGTCATCTTCGCTTTTCATCATGATACTCTGACTTGATTCATGTTCCATCATTTCATTGAAACATGACTCACAATATGCCACAGATTTTCCTACTTTCCATCCTGGAGTGCCCACTTTGTTTTCAAAAACCAAACACCTCATACAAAAGTAATTACTGCACGTCAAACAACTATATATTGTCTTTGCAAAGCAAGAACTATGAATTCCTTTGTCTCCCACCATTTTTTTGTGCTGTTTTGGCTTTTTCACACATGGAACTAACAGAATTGCTGGGAGTTTGTGGGTTATAAATGATTCATAATAATTTCCTGTAATTCATGCATTAAGTTCGGCACATGTGAGATGCGATGTTTGAATCAACAGTCGAACCTAAGTCGAATCTTCGACTGTTTCAGTCGCAGACACGGTGAAAGTCGCCTTTAATTTGAAACAGGCGAATTTTTGATTCAAACATCACACTTCACAAGCATATAACTCTCACATTAAGTTCGGCACATGAAATTTGACGTTTGAACCGGGCCTTAAAGGTTTAATGTATAGAGTTCTATTTTTTTGGACAGTAAACTCGAGCTACCTGAGGAAGCATTTAAAATAGCTGCGCAGGGAAACTTTGAACTGGCAGGATACAAGTTTGATGTCCAAGAGGAGCAAATGCGCAGACCTCGCATAGTTAGAATAGGAGCTGTACAGAACAAAATAGTGCTGCCTACATCTTCACCACTGGCAAATCAGGTGAGAACCTAGTCGTTAATAATTTTTCAGGGAAAGTTGGCAGTCTCACCTGTGAGTTTTGAGTGGATAATCTGATGACCCAGCCAAGTCATTTCTGTTGAGGTATAATTCAATTTTCTTTTGTTTTGTAGCTGTCAGCTCTCCATGCAAGAATAAAAGAAATTACTGAGGCTGCAGCCATGTGTGGAGTCAACGTCATCTGTTTTCAAGAATGTTGGAGTAAGTTGTATTATAGCTGAGAGTGAGATACATCTGATCATGTCCTAAGCTTGTGAAACCTTGTGAATCTTCTTATGAAGAGAACAATGATTGACATGAGCACAAGTGGTGGAGATGAGGGGAGACATAAAAGAGTAAGGGTACAAGAAATATATCACCCCACTTGCTCGAAGCTAGGTTTTAGGGTTAGTATATTTGTATTTCTCTGATATTGTATCCTCCACTTTGTTTTTATCAGCCATGCCATTTGCTTTTTGCACCCGTGAAAAGCATCCGTGGACAGAATTTGCTGAGTCAGCAGAAGATGGGCAAACCATTAAACTCTGCCAAGAGGTACATTAAGGTACTTCAGGCTTTTGGCTAGCCAGAGGAAACAAAAAAGGCTTCTTGATTATTAGAGACAGTTGGGCTTCCAGTGGCAGCTAAGAAGCAAGCAGATGTATTATTCACTTATAAAGTGGTGGCTACCTGCTCATAGCTGTTACATATTAACTCTCCTTGTACTCAGACAACATGGTTTGATGTTACTCTGGTTTAAGATTTTAATCAATGTAAGAGGTCGATGAATTGTAATTTTCCCGGTTACATTCTTTAAAATCTTAAACTAGAGTAGCATCAAACCATGTCTGATTGTTTACCTGGTTGCTTTGTGAATTTTAGTATACCTATCTCTTTGTACTCCTAACATGCATGCAGTTCTCTTCAAATTTGTTCAAATTTGTTGAACGTAAGGATCAATGTAACTACATGAATTGGAATAAATCTCAAAATGCAAACCTTGGACTTCCTTGGAGGCAAGAGACTCTTCAAACCTTCAAAACTACCTGCCTGTTGTTCAAATTACCTGTTATTACATATATCTTATTAACCAAGCGCGAGGGCCGTACTAGGAGAATATCGGCCCGAAGTCTTGACCATACGGACCGAGCGCAGCAAGGTCCATACAAAAAAGACCGAGGGTCGATATTCTTCCAGTACGGTCCCGAGCAAGCTTGGTTAATAAGAGATTTATTATATGACTGAAGTTCAAAGGGGCACAAGTGCGGTATCATTTGGGACCATTTTGGACAGTGCCCGGTCCAATACTGAGAGAATATTGACCAGCAATAGAGCATTTTGATTGGTTGATTTTAGTTATTGGCCCTCTGGCTGCCCGAGTCGTGTAATAACATATCTTATTGAAACCCATTAGAGAGAGTGATGATTTGTATTTTCTGGGTAGTCTTTAACAAGAACTGTATTGACTAGCCTCCTAAGGCTTTAAGTTTTTCTTGATTCTTCACTTTATTTGTTTTACCAGCTTGCCAAACAACACAATATGGTCATAGTGTCTCCAATTTTGGAAAGAGACAGTGTGCATCAGGATAAAATCTTCAATACAACAGGTACTTTCAGATATAAAATTGGTCACAATTGTTATCTTAATGTGTTGTTTTTTTAAGAGTGCTGTAACCTCATCAACTTCTTTGATTAACCAACCTTACGTCACCATTAATTACTATGATTTCACAGTGCATTACTCAAGTGCCATATTTCAGTGTTTGGTTTGGCAACTGTTGCACAAATCTAGTTACTTTGTGAACCAACATTGGTACATGTACTGTTAATGCTAGTGCTTTATTGAAAGTCAGGTTTGTTCCAAGAGATTTTTTGATTCAAACAGAATCATGCATTTTTCAGTGTTAATTTCCAATAATGGCTCAGTCCTTGGAAAAACAAGGAAAAATCACATTCCTAGAATTGGAGATTTTAACGAGGTACAAATATTTTTGTTCTTTTTTCATATGTAATCAAAAATTCAAAGCCTTTGGGCACTGAATAGATTGGCATGTATTAAATCAATTTATTTATTGCTTCTTAGGAGACCTTTTTTAGGGGGAGGGGGGGGGAAGGGGGAGGGAAAATCATGAAAGTACAGGATTCCACATAGAATCCTGCCAGATCCAATGATATTCTGAAGGATCCTAAACAAGTTTCTCTAGTCCATTAAAATTTGCTTACTCAAAACGAATTAGCTCCAGGACTGTTGTCATTTCTTTTGTAATTTATGAACAGTCAACCTACTACATGGAAGGAGATACAGGACACCCAGTGTTCCAGACACAGTTTGGTGAGGTTCACTTTTTTCAAATGATTTATGGTAATGGTGATGCATGGTCCCCAAAATATGTTTTTTCTTTAACCTTAGTCAAACTTGAAGGGTCTCTCAAGATATTGTTTTGACTCTCATGCAGGTCGAATTGCAGTAAATATTTGTTACGGTCGTCATCACCCACTAAACTGGCTAATGTATGCAATAAATGGTGCTGAGTTCTGCTTTAATCCCTCGGCAACTGTGGGTGCTTTAAGGTAGGTTGTGTGTTCTTAAGCTCAGGTTTCAACCTCTCGAATAAGGGAGGACACTCAAGGGAAACTGTGGTTGGCTTATGCCACCAAAGAGATAAGATCTTACCTTACCTACCAGCACATACTCCTTTCGGCAAAGCGAGGGAGTGCCCTAACCCTCCCCTACTTCTACCTATTTTCGTTTACCCTGTAGGTTTACACACAAATGTTCTTATTTGTATTTACAGTGAACCCATGTGGCCCATTGAGGCTCGCTGCGCATCTATAGCCAACAACTACTTCACTGTTGCAATTAACAGGATTGGGACAGTAAGTACACTTTGCTCTGACATTGCACTAACATTTGCATTGTCACTGCGATGTAAGTCCAAGATGTGGGACTTAAGGCCCTTCCCTTTTTGTTGAGGGAATCAGTGGCTTGAGGTCTTAAATGCTTTTGTTGTAATGACTTAGAAGAGACCTAGTACTTCAGATCCATGTAACATTTGATACATTTTGTACAATTGAGGAAATAAGGGCTTTCTCTTTACTGCGCATGTTCTTTTGCCATCCATAGGAAGTCTTTGAAAATGAGTTCACTTCAGGGGATGGCAAACCAGGTAGCTATAATAACTGGGTAATGTTTTTCTTTTCCCTCTCTAACCTATCATCAATTTGCAATTAGGAGGAAGATGATTTCTGTAAAATCTATGAGTAGAGGAATGTTTGCTTTAAAATAGATGTTACTCAAAAGCAGGAGCTGTGCAATGCAAAAAACCTTGCTAGTTGTAGATATCAAATGTTTAAAAGGGTCTGAATGGAGAAGGTTATGTTTTGAGTATTTAGTGACAAGTGGAACTTAAGAATTGTGAACTTTGACAATTACAATTTGTTATGTAAATTTGTTATTTTTCTCCTTAGCTCATAAGGACTTTGGTCACTTTTATGGTAAGTTCTCCACTTGCTGGTATTTTATTGATTTTTGTGATTAAAGTAAGTCATAATGAACCATGTCTGACCATGTTTCATTTTCAATTGTTAGGTTCCTCCTATGTTGCTGCTCCAGATGGCAGTCGTACCCCAGTGAGCTATTTTAATGAATATTTTTTTGATTAGTCTTCAATAAAGTACACAAAGTAAAAGATAGAAACCGGTAGCAATATATATTTACAGGTTTTGCAGAATATTAGCAGCCAGTTTTTTACCTTGTTTGAAGATCAATGTCAGTCTTGCTAATTGCATCATGTCAATTGGATGGTTTGGTCCAAGATTATCTAAGGTTCAGCGATACCATAGCCTAAGAGAAGATTTCTGTACATATTAAGAAATTTTATCGTTATGAGCATTATTTTTCTTGTACAGGGTTTATCCAGAGTTAATGATGGCCTTCTTGTGACTGAGGTAGACTTGAACCTGTGCAGACAAGTTAAGGACCGCTGGTGTTTTCAGGTGTGTAAGGTGCAAGGTTTCTTGCTCTTTGTGGCAACTTAGGTGGTCTGCTGCCACCTTCAGGTTAGGTCTTGCTGGAGGACAACTGGTCATGGTAGGCTAACCTCCCCTCCCCCCTTGTGAATTTTGTTAGGTGTCCCTGACAGTTTGTTTGGTATCAGTGTGGAGGGTTGGGTGGAGAGGAGGCGGTGAAGCATCTTGCCCAAGAACACAATACAATGACCTGACCTTAGTTTGAACCTGGACTTGTTGATCAACATTCCCAGTTCCCCAGCACCCCAACCACTTAGTCACCCCTCTTTACCTTGTGTCTCACTTTAGACTCTGGGAGGACTTTTGTTTTATGTCAGGCAACTCCTTCTTTCCAGATCATTGCGCGACATCCTTCAAATCAGCTGTTGAAACAGGCTTCTCTAGACACTTCTAAAATTGATTCCTTTCATTTCCCAGATGACTCAGAGGTTGGAAATGTATGCCAAGTTATTGACTCAAGCTGTGGAACCAGGTTACAAGCCACAGATAGTCCATGATGAAGCTTAGAACATTGGATATTGACTGACTGAGTGTGGATATGTTTTGTACCGGAGCCGAATAATTTTACTATGTTGACTAAATGCACCAGTGAAATATTACAGTTTTGAAAATATCGACTGATACAAAGAAGTTACACTAAAAAAAGAACACTATTTTTGTAGTTTTGTGTTAATTGTGATTCTTGGAATATAAAGAAGAAATCAATTCTTGTTTGAGGATCTAGGGTATACAGAGAAGAGACACTATTTTCGACCATCATGGGAAAATGACAGGTTGTTTCCAGCCAGATAAAGATTAAGACAGCATAGTTTAAGTTGATTATAATTTTGCAGTTCAGTTTATGTCTCACTTACTTGTTCTTTTGCCTGCACACGGGATGTCCATGTATTAGTATAAAAGTCCTTGCTGAATTTGGGGTAGAGACAGAATATTTTGCTTCTATTCTCGTACTTATTTAGTTCAAACTATTACGTTCTTGTTTGTACTCACGTGAAACTGGTCGAAACTATTCTCTCATAGGGCGAAAATGAAGAATGAAAATGTACTTTCATTTGAACCTTTTGTCGAGCTCGTTCTACGGTGTTTGTTCATTTTTCTTTTTTTTCAAACGTAAGCTTTGAACTCACCGTTTTCTGCATTTTGTTTCCAGTTCTTGGAAACTGATTGCTAATTAATGAGTGCCATGCTTCTTTCTGTGAAGACAAGTTTCAAAACAGCCCGGGTCACTCGAACCACCAACCACGTGAACTGAAATTGACTGCTGATTGGCCCCCTGTCTAGCAACTTTTCCAGGGTTTCTATCACTTTTTATGGCCACTGCCAGGAGAGTTATCGTTGTTGCTGTTGTTTTCATTGTCTTTGAACGCTTTCTATAATGTTCATTCTTCAGACGCTAAATTCATCGTTTAAAGCGTTTTTAATCAGCCAGGGTACTAGGGTTGGACATAAGGATTTAATTATTTTCGCTCTTTTCTATATTGTTGTGGATAGTCTCAGAAGAGACTTGACAGTGACTGTCATTTTTCTGCGTTCTGATTGGCTCCGTGATGACAACCGATGGGCGATGAGTTGAAGAGTAAATTTTTCCCTGTTTCCGTTTTTTGGCCCAAGCTGCAGACATGTGTCACCCCTCCCAAGTAGCATGGTTTCCATCGCGGAGGCCTATGGGATTGCGGTTTGTTGCCACGGTAAACAAATATGGCGGACGGACTTATCAAAAGTACCCGAAAGACACCAACAAAGTTTGACAATGGATATGAACCGACTTTTGACTTTGATGGCACTCCTTCCTGTTTAAGCTGGAAAGTTGAAGATGTCGCTGACTGGGTGGAATTTTTAGGGTTCCCGCAGTATCGGGTGAGACGAAAATTGCAATCAAGGGCCGAGAGTTTTTGAAAAAATAATTTTGTCCTGTTTTCTCGGATTTATCATTCGTCAAGGCTCATTTCTGTCTAAAATATTTAAGTTTTCCAATTGTCTGCGTAACTTTTATGGTGTATATAGAACACTTATTAAAAAAAAAAACAAAAACAAAAAAACAGAGTAGACCAGCTGGGAAGCTATTAGAAAGCTAATGTAAGTAACTTAATTCTACAGTCTTGGAGTATAATTTGATCATATCAGAATTGAAGTTGTTTTTGATCCATTGTCTACAGGCCTGTTTTAAAGAAAATCTCATAAATGGAAGGAAACTTATCAATGTCGATGCTTCATCTTTACCAAGAATGGGTGTCACAGACTTTGAACACATTAAGGTTTGTCTACAGAATACCTATGAGGGAACAATCCAGTTCTTTTTTTTTTTTTCCGTTTGTCGTCCTGGCTTGTCGAACAAGTCACCTGTATTCAGAGGTGTTCTACTGACAGCGAAAAAAGATAATTTAACGAGAAGTCACTTAACTCTGTATAATTCTGAATTTAAACGCAAATCAGCGTGTACATGCATGGTGATCCATGCATGGTGCTGCATCTTGTGGCTACAAGCGCTTCCTCCAGGACATGATACTTGGGTATGAATGTAAAAAACATGCAGTTTACCCCAGCACACGTACCCTGGACTGAGTTGTTTGAAGTTAGATTCGCACTAATTCCGGTACAATTCTCCTGACGATAAATAGCTTTTGTAGACAGTCAAATACAAGTGTTCCTTGAGTTTTTGTTTTAATCGATCTTGGCGTGCCAGCTCAGAGACAAACAAAATACAGAATTTTGTTATTCTTTCTTTTCTCAGGTAATAGCTAAAAGAGTTCGAGAAGTGTTAGGAATAGAGGAACCATACTGGAACCGTAGCATCTCTCTCCTACACAGGGAATCACTCGGACTGTTTCTTGAAAAGAAAAGTAACACTGGTGTAGAAGCAGATCTGTTGACTTTTGAAGATTACAAACGTTACTTACAGAAACTAGAGCCTTGTGAAAACAACAAAAGATAATGCTTCTTTCAGGGATATGTGGCAACCTATCTTTGCAAGTGGCTACACATGTGTTATTACAGTTATTGTGTTTTTAATACATTCTCAGTCTTTACTTCCTATCAGTGAGAAGGAAGGAAAGAGGGAACAGTATGCTTCTTCTTTGAGCTTCTTTCATTTCATAATTTGTAACAGATCCTTTGTCAATCAATACCTCATTTTTGTTTGTCATTTGTCTACTGTATTTATTACTCTAATTCATTTGTCTTTCAAAGTTGACGACTTGAAAATCTGAAATATGTAACATTCACTCAGGTCACTTTTCAGTGTATAATGCAAGTGCTTGGTTACTCTTGGTTCCATTGTCATCTAACAGTGCCTCATGGTGATTTGTGAATGGTATCCTCTGAATACAGGTTCATTTACAGTAAATTTGGAAGAGAAAATTGAAACCAAGGTCTGCATCAATTTTGCAAAGTTCTAACTGTGATAGCCAACACTTGAGTTTGTGTTTATCAATAGACTAAGCAAAGTTTCAAAGAGGACCACAACTTTCCTACAAACCAGTGCAGTGGAAGATACCTCACCTAAAGCAGAAGACATCAGTGAACTTTCTCTGCCCCAATAATCTGATCCCTCCCACTCACCAGAAAGTTTGATGTGATGTTATTTTTGCTCAGATATAAATGAATGCAGTATGAACAAAAGATTTGCAAATTTATTCATCATGCTTTACCCATTAATAGCCACAGCTTTTGTGAAAAACTGTGTTGTGAAGCTAGTCAAGCAGATTTGGGGTCACTGTTGTGGTTTTAAAAGCTCAAACTTACCACAAACCCATTGACAGCTTGTACTCTTGATGGCCTTTCGATCCAAATGCAAAATGGCCGCCTGAAAATCTCGGGCAGGCACAGAAAGCAAAATTTGGAGATAGCTTTTGGGTTGAAAAGTAATGCCCTACTTATGACTTTTCTCTTTCTCCTGCCCTTTTTTCGCCTTTCCTTGCCTGAAGTTTCTCCTGACTTGCTGGAAATTTAGTAGGCTTCATTTTGGTGTAGAGATTTTTTAGGAAACTACTCATTTTCAAACCACATGCTCAGAAAGGTAGGTAGGTTATAGAACAAGATTTTCGTGCAGATTTTCAGGTCAAAGTTACATGGTTTTTTGGCTATTTCTCCAATCTCCTTCACTCAATTGCGCTCATTCTAGTATGTTTTGCAAGATATTTTCAACCTGTTTCAGTACATGCTCAAAGTTGTGCTCCAGGGTTAAAAGCAATGATGCCACAAGGCATAGAAAGGGTGTGGTTCCACATGGGTGCTTACAGGTGCACTGGACGTCAATAGGTTATGGGGCATTTGAACATGACTTTGTCATGGCTACATCTTTCTCTCAACTTTTATTGTTGACAGCTATGAGTTATTTGGACATGTCTTCATGTAACTATTAAAGCAACACAAGATAAAAAAAGTTCTTGAGATATTTTTAACATAGTTACATAAATAATCTCTGTTTTATATTAACGGTGAGTTATCTGCAACAGGCCTCCCTCCATCCATTTTCCTCCTTGTTTCTAGCTAACTAAATACTCAACTGTGAAAGAGAGTACACAAAATGAATATTTGTTTCACAAGAGTATTATGTAACGAAAGCACCAACGGTGACAACTTAACTAAAAGATCTGAAGCAATAGGGTATTTTGAATTTCCCCCCCAAACTAGACCCTTTGAACTGCAAGAAGCCTTTTACATATATCTCAGCTGAATTGACAAACTTAAGCTATAACCTTTTGAGCTATTCTATGAAATGAAACTGGGAATCTCTCAAGTTTTTGCTATCTACTTAAGTGTCATTTAGTCCCATCTTTCTGACTGCACCCTGAATCTAGTGAACAAATTGAAAAAATTTACAAAAGGAGAAATTACATCAGGTAGACTGAGGCAGAAGTTGATAAGAAAACACGAGAAAAGACATGAGAACACATTCCCAGAAGAATATTCAGTAAAAGATTATATATCATTATCATCTTCTTCTGGGAGAGCTGTTTGTTGGGCATCAGCAAGCTCCTGCTCGTAGTGTTGCATTAGTTGTTGATCAACCTGGACCTCTGGTGGCTCCAGAGCTGGCATCTCTACAAACTCTAAATTTGGATCACCAACAAGTTTTCTTGCTAACCACAAGAATGGCTTCTCAAAGTTGTAGTTACTTTTGGCACTTATGTCATAGTACTGTAAGGAAATAGAGAAAGTGATGTTACCAACAATCCATTCTGTATAGACTATGTACTGTATAGATTGTATTTTATGTCTATCTACATTGTACAGAAAAGCCTTCTGGCTTAACTGAACTGCCAACTAAGAATCAAATCCTTGTTTTATTGTTTATCTTTGACATTTACCACGTCAAATTTACCACACTCTCCTGAAAACCTACTACTCCAATCATCATGTCTCCTATTTCCCTTACAACCTAACTGTGAAAGCGCAAGTGTCATATCACACAACCTCCATTTACCTGGGCACGGCTGGAAGAGGGCAAAGACTTCCTTCATATTGACCCTAGTCTGGTCTCCCAGGAGGAGATGAATATTCAATAAATTTGTGTTTTTGCCAAATGGAATGGAAATAAGCTGGTTAGAGAATAGTGGTTGGCACTTTTCATTTTCCAGCCTAATTTTACATGCATTACTAATTTTTGTTTCCTACATTTGATCTTTCGAAACTATCAGCCTTTATACATTTGATCAGTTGCGCATTAAGGTAAATGCACTTTGCAGGTAGGTAATTCAATGCATTCAAGTAAAAAATTATGCATTCTTTTCTGCTGTTTGGATTGAGCTGAAAAGAATGTATAACTTTTTTTTTTTTTCAGATAAAAAGGCTACTTTTTTGCATCCTCCTTTCCTGAAATATGATTAATTCTTAGTGAATTCACAGGTAAAAATACCTGTAAGTTCTTCTTTCTGTGAAATGTTATTGACTTGGCCTTGACTTTACGATCTTTGATATCAACTTTGTTTCCACAAAGCACAATAGGGATGTTTTCACACACTCTAACAAGATCTCTATGCCAGTTTGGCACATTCTTGTAAGTCACTCGTGATGTTACATCAAACATGATGATTGCACACTGGCCCTGGATGTAGTAACCATCACGCAGACCGCCAAACTTTTCCTGCCCAGCAGTATCCCAGCAGTTAAACTGAATAGCCCCTCGGTTTGTGTAGAACACCAGTGGATGTACCTCAACTCCTAGAGTTGCTGGATACAGAAACAAACCAAATGTGAGAACAATTAACCATTCAAATTCCAACATTTTATTTCTAATTCACTTTCAAGCAACTATGGATGTCACTTTGAGTAAGTTATCATTAAATGATTTCTCAGGTCAAAGGAACATTGCACTTTAATTTTCAGCCAACTGCAAGACATTTCTTAAAAAAAAAATAGATAAATTTAATCAATTCAGATCTCTAACTGTGTTTTCAGAATAAACTAGTGTCAAACTTCCAATTGTTGCAGCTTCTGGAAAAATTCAAACTTATTATAACACCTCTCTATCAACTTGTACCATACCTTTGACTTTCTCAAGAAAAGGATCAATAAGTCCCATTGCAATGGAACATTTACCAATGGGCTAACACAAAATCTGATGACACCCACACATGAATGATTTTACAGGGAGATCAACATTCCCACACTAACAATTAACAATTATGCACTAGAGGGGAGGTGATAAATGGAGTATATTTATCAGACTGCAAACAAGGAGGTAAATTATCCACCACTTTCACAGACAATGAGATAAATAGCTGTTTTGGCATTTACCCCACAGAAGCTGAAAATATAAGTTTATTTCTCTTTGGCTGCTCAGAGGTAAATAGTACTTGCTAATCCCTTCCAAACTAGGCAATCAGTGTGTGTTAAAGGTAATGTCCACTGAAGGCGAAGTGAATATTGTTGAATAATTATTGAATATTTGTTTTAGTATAATTGCTTAGGTGCTTTGTTGTATATATTCGTTTTGATGTTGAAACCATTTTGAGAACTTGTATCAAGATAATGGGCAACTTTCCACTAGAATTTGATAGTTTCATTTAATTCATTCAGCTAAAAATTAACTTCTTTCTTTTAAAAAGTGTTTCTCCAAGCCTATGGTTGGCCATTTGTTTCAAAATCATGACATGATATATGTGCAGTTTTTTGCCATCTATACTTGCAATCATTCCTGCTACACGATATATGTGTGTTTCTTTGCCTTGTATACTTCCATTTTATTCCCAAGTATATGACCATTTTTTTACAAACACCATGTGTGTGCACAAAAAAGCCCCTATATATGCCTTACATACAAATGTTTGTATATGGGGTTATAGCAGGCCATCATATAAAAGGCATCGAATTATATCATTAGCAATAAACCTACTTCATGTACAATAGAGCCGGAAAGTAACTTCAGTTTGAATCAAGCATGGCCGCCATGGTCATCTTATTTCGATCAAGGTTTGGTTCTTACTCATTGCCTTTGCTGCAGTGGTGGTTGTTGGTTCCCCAACAACAGATTTGTTGAATCAATACAAAATTTAAAGAAGATTAAAGATAAGTTTACAGAAAATGTATTATTCTGGTGTTAAAATGAAGGGCATTGATCGTTGCACTGTCCGGGGAGTTCATGTTTCTCTTTTTTTTCAGAGACTACACCCGAGAAAGTGAAATAATTTTGCCATTGTTCTTGTCGTTCTTGTTTTTCTTTTGAATAAAAATATAGGAAACCTTTTACCTGTCTCCAATTATCAATGTGGGATTGTTGTGTGACTTGACACTTGGGGTTAGTCATGATAGTTATTGTAAATAAATATTCATTCCTGTAGAACTGCGTTTACAATTTCAATCTTCTTCAAGGGGTCAAGGGATCTGAAGTTTCCAGATCTTGAAACTTCAGACCCCTTTAAATTTCGTATGGATTCAAACTCCAGTGACCATGATTCATCTTAATTTGTCTGAAATTGTAAACTTCGCGAGTTTTGCAATGAAAGACAATCACTGCAATCATTTGGTAAACTGAAATCAGTTCAATTACCACACTGGTGTTAGCGTTTACAAAAAATGATCGACAATTTTTATCAGTTTTGTTTATTTAATTGATTTTGCCAAGGTTTATGAGGAACAAATTTTGTTGGCGGCGCGTCTGAAAATTTTTCGGCCTCAAAGAACTCAATGTCAAGTCGTGAGAAACCATTTGCACTTAAAGAGAGTCAGAGATGACAGAAAATTTGTCACTTTTTTCAGTCACTCCCTAAATATTCATTCACTGCGTTAAAACATAAATCTCGATCACTTTTCTTTTTTAACTGCGTTAAAACATAAATCTCAATCACTCTTCAAGGGGTCTGAGGTTTCGAGGTCTGAGGTCTGAAGTTTTGAGACACCCGTATGTAACCTGGACTTGTACAATAAAGTTTTCTGCTGTGTTTGGGTCAGCATTTGGAAAGTGACGTTCACAGTCTCTCAACACACAGTCCACAGATTCCAACAAATCCGTTGTTGGGGAACTAACAACCACCACTACCACGAAGGCAATAAGTAAGAACCAAACCTTGATTGAGACGACCATAGGCCATTGCAGAAACGTGAGAGGACTGGGAGTGAGTGTGGTTGTTTTCCATTTGTTTGAAAAACTAAGATATTCAAATAAAAGATCAACTAAATTTTTTGTCAGATACAATGAAATATATGAAGTTCATATATTTTGAACTGCGGTTTTAGATACATATGATACACGATCCTCGCAGTAGACAGCGCTATTTAAGCAATAGCGAAAATCAGACCTGTACGGGATTCGAACCACTGACCTCTGCGAGGTCAGTGGTTCGAAGTCAGTGGTTCGGTCAGTGGTAGAGCCCTGCACTAGTATCGCAGA